AGAAGGGCTATAAATCTGTCATTTTATACTGATAAGGCGACCGATAATATTACTTAACAAACAGATGTTTAAAACACAAAATTGTTAAACTTTAAAAGTTTTAGGAAAATGCACAGGCACATGTGGGGTTGACCCCCCCTTTTTTTTGCGTTTAATTCTTATTTTGGAAATATTCTTTGATGTTGTTTATCCTGACTTTTAAGATTTATTTGAAAACCTAATTATTTTTAAATATGGTTTTTAAAAATATTCTAATCTTGCTATTTATTGAAAAAATCTAATTTTGTAAAAAAAATCAAAATCACATATATATATAGAGATATTTCTTGATTGGTATTTTGTATTTCATTTTATCCCTTTTTGCAACAATTGTCACCTATAGATTGAGAAAGAAACCATGTGGTATCTGTGAACTAACATAATATAATTGATGTGACAGTTTAATTTGAAAATATGGTGTTTTCTAAGTAGTGCAGGATATAAGTTCACTTTTTATTCAACATCATTTTGATGCAAGTTCTTGGGCTTAGTTGTAAGACTGTACTCCAGTATTCTGTAATCAATTTACTTCGAACATTTCACCTCAAGTTTTTGATAAGAGTACGTAGATGCTGAAAAAGTGGCAAAATTTTGTGTTTCTATACAGTGTCAAATGATTTGGTGGAGGCTTATACTCAAGTTATCTTTCAAAGACCAAATTCAAGAATTACTTAGTAATATTATATGCCTCCCTGTGGCAGCATAGTAACAACAAGAAGACTAAGTACACTTAATGCTAAACATAAATCAAAGATTGAGCAGAAAGTTTTGAAAATTTTTGAAGTGGAAAAAGTGCATCTAATGTACAACATACTTCTTGTTTGTAATTAAGTTGTGAATCATTAAGGAAATGTATAAAGATTTATATAGGTAAAGTTGTATATTGCAATACTCATGTTTGTAGAATTATTGGTTTCAGAAATAGACAATTGGTACTAACAGACTGTTTACTGAAATTATCTTCCTGATTATTATTCCTCTTATGTTGTCAAAGTGGGAGACAGTGACGTCAAACTTCTATTGTGTGATCCAAATAGTTGACTAAACATTATATTGATCACAATGACTTTATTATAAATGTAGGAACCTGTCACCAACATTACTTTATACTTGGTAACCTTTATAATCTTCAACTGGTTGGGAAACCTATTTCAGATTAACCTTAAATAATTGAATACTAATTTTCTTTACCCTTTATTAACAAGTCATAACACTTCAGACATAGTATATAACAAAGGTCAACAGTAAAGGGTCAAAATTTAAACCTTGATTTAAGGTTCCACTAAAGTCAAAATATAGGACACTTCATAAACATCTAAACTTTGCCTGTATTTTTCAACCTATAATGAGTAAAGTCATAAACTATGAGAACATATGTTCATTTAAACATACTTAACATATACATACTGTGTGAATTGTAAATAAACTTGAAATTGTTATGTTGTGGCCAAACCGGTTCTTGTGGTGAACACTAAATTTTCAAAAAAATCTGGAGGCCTGCGAGACTACTTAATTTGTTCAAAATTGGTATGGACGAATACTGTTATATCTAATGCAGGGCAAGCGCATGTTGATTTTTCAGAAAATGTATTGATTTTCGAGTTTCAGTTAATTTCATGTATCTAGGTGAACAAATATCGAAGTTACAATACAGAAATTGGACAAATATGCCATTAAAACTTATGTATGTGATAAATCAACATGTGCTTGCCCTGCATTAGATATAACAGTATTCGTCCATACCAATTTTAAGCAAATTAAGTCGTCTCGCAGGCCTCCAGATTTTTTTGAAAATTTAGTGTTCACCCCAAAAACCGGTTTGGCCACAGCATAACAATTTCAAGTTTATTTACAATTTACACAGTGTGTATATGTTAAGTATGTTTAAATGAACATATGTTCTCATAGTTTATGACTTAACTCATTATAGGTTGAAAAATACAGGCAAAGTTTAGATGTTTATGAAGCGTCCTATATTTTGACTTTAGTGGAACCATTCTCATAGATGGTCATACTGAAACATATATTGCTGTTTCTGAACCAAAGGCCAGTTTACAAGTGAAGGGAAAGCATTTTACTTTTCAGCATGGCCGTACTGAAACATAGCTTGCCGTTTCAAGACCAAAGGTCAATATTAAAGGGTAAGCATTAAAACCTTGGTTTAAACCTTCCAAGCATGACTATCGTTGGATTAGGATTTCTGGGATATTCTAGGTCAAAGGTTGGGTTAAGACCAAAGCTTCAGTTGTGTATTTAAAGGTTTGGTCTACAGTAGGAGAGCATTATATGCATGATAACCCAACCAGTCTGAAGCCTGCCTCTTGGTGTGGCATTTTCTCACTGTGTTGAAGTCCCATTGGTGGCCTTGGGCTGTTTTCTACTCTTTGGGGTTGTTGTCTCTGACATATTCCCCGTTTCCATTCTCAATTTTATTATCCATATTAAGAAATTTAAGCAGGATTGCAAGATAATGTTCATAGGTCTACGTTTTCTCTTGATTATTGTGTCCAAAAAGACATTCATACTGTCCAATTGGAAAATACCCAATTTCATATTTTTATAATAATACTTAATATTGATATTTGAAATATTTAACTTAAGTTCTCTGAAATTGAATTAAAAATATTGTAGGAAATTTTATTGAGCTTAATAATTGAGTAAGTTTTTAAGATGAAAAGTTGTGAGGAAAATGTAAAAAAGAAAAGTACTTTGAAATTGCTTTGAATATGTTTATGAAGAAATAAAAGTTTTCTAAGCAATAAAGAATACTCTGAAACTTCCAGTCGTGTATAATAAAAGTCTATATATGTTCCTAATCAAGTTAAGAGATTTTGATATTTCTTTTGATTCATCTAGACTTACTGATGAAGCCAGTTTCATACAAATACAATTAAAATATGACATTTTGTCAATGAGAATTCCCAGACAGAAGCATAGTTAACATAACGTTGATGAAAAAATGAATTCATTGATATTCATTAAATAATTCTTGTACAAGCTGTCTTTTTGTTCTGCTGTCAAATATTGTAGAACGGGGCATTCAGTACACAGATTCCTTTATTATTTATATAAAGTTTAGATTTAAAGAATTGTTACTTTGTAAAAACAAGTGTAAATCTTTAATGAAATGACCTCCATTTTTGATTGGTCGATTGATGAAGTGACTAAGATTTTATTGGCTTGAATGAGTTGTGAAATAGGCCACACATCAGAAAGAGTAGAAGAAAATTTATAAAATGGCGAGAATCCAGATTGAATTTGATAACAGTATGGGTATTTTAAGACACAATCTATGAATATATTGCCTTAGGATCACAGGTTGTAGGATTAAAGCACTGATAGTCAAATTTTAAACATTTGTTATTTTTCTACAATACACAATTGTGAAAACACAAAGTTCTATTCCAATTATTTCCAGTGTAATGTGTATATCATATCGCCTGTCATTAATAACACGATTTTATATGAAATGAGATATAAATAGCTCTGTTCATTGAAGTGCTTACTTTTTGTTGACCAATATGTTATTATTTGATCCATTTTTAGAGGTTTACATGTTCCCTATTGGAAATTTTTCATATAAATATAAGTAGAAAAGGTATGAGTGCCAATGAGACAACTCTTCACCAGAGACCAAATGACTTAGAAGTGAGCAACTACGTCACCTTCGACAATGAGCAAAACCCATACCACTTAGCAAGCCATAAAAGGCCTCGAAATGGATGGCAAATGTAAAACAATTCAAATGAGAAAACAAATGGTCTGATAAATGTATTTATTGGAATTTTTTCATTTGTTCCCTAGTTTTGTCTCGCTTGACAGAGTCAAAAAGCGAGACATAGGTATGCTGTTTCCAGCGTCGGCGACGATGATGGTGGCAGCGACAACAATGTAATAGTTTGTGATTAGGACTAGTTTGTGGTGAACCACAAGTTGTAGGTCAATCATATTTGGTATACAGTTGTATTAGCATTGGTACATCTCATTTCCGTGGAGATTATTTGGCCCTGCGCCCTCAGTCATGGTCTATTGACTTTGAAACTTTTGCTTATTTTACATGTATTAGTTTGTGATTAGGTCAGTTTATGGGGAACCATTAGTGGTAGGTCAATGATATTTGGTATGCAGTTGTATGAGCATTGGCATATCTCATTTCCGTGGAGATTATTTGGCCCTGCGCCCTCAGTCATGGTCTATTGACTTTGAAAATTTTGCTTAGTTAACATGTATTAGTTTGTGATTAGGTCAGTTCAAGGGGAACCATTAGTGGTAGGCCAATGTTAATTGGTATTCAGTTGTATAAGCATTAGCACATCTCATTTCAATGGAGAATATTTGGCCCCATCCCCATAAGATCAGTTTAAGATGAACTGCTAATGTTAAGTCAATGATATTTGGTATGCAAATTTATTGGCATTTGTAAGTGTCGTTTCCATGGATATTATATAGCTCCACCCCTCTTCATGGTTCATTGACTTTGAAACTTTTACATAGTTTACAAGTTAATGTTTGTGTTTAGGTTTGTTTAAAGGGAACAACTTATAATAAGTCAATGATATTAGTATGCAGTTGTATTAGCATTGGCACTCTCATTTACATGGAGATGGTTTAGCCATGTACCTCAGTCATGGTTCATTGACTTTGAATATTAGCCTAACTTGTTAAGTATTGCCATTTTAATTTCAACATTTGCATAATCAAAATTATAAAAAAGCGAGACATTTCTCTGTGATAGCAGTTTATTTTCATTTCAGAGCCTTATATAGTATACTATGCATTATGGGTTTTTCTCATTTTTATTTTTACATATAAACAGGTGTTTCGATGACATCTGCCTTGGTAGATACATTCCTGCTTCCAAACTTCAATGTCTCCCATCCACGTTTGAGTTTCTACACTTAAGAGTAAATATAATTTGGCTGATTTTGTCAGTCTGATGTCCCATTATCTATCTTTTCCAGATAAATTCAAATTGCTGAAGGGAAGAAATGGAGGTTTTTGTGACAGATTAACATCATCTTCATACAATGCCAGTAATGCAAGAAATTCTTCCTATAAAATAGAACTAGAGCTAAGTGGCAGGAATGGTAACTTGAGTATTGGTATCTACTATCCTAGTACAAGACAGTATCAGGAAAAAGTTTCCAACACAAACATGTAAGTATAAAATATCAGTTGGTAAACTCTGAAATCTTTGTTTTCTCATAATGTTGTCAGTTAACTATTGTGTTGTTGGTATTGACTAGAATCTGGGTTACGCTGAACCTGTCGGATGAGACATAGATACAGACATCTTATTTATTGGGGTCAAGATTAGCCAATGGAAATATATAGAACATCTAAGAGTCTTTGATCAAAAACTTTGACGGACTTGGATGGAAGAGAAACTTATCCTATTTTTCTTGAAATTTAGATGTACTTGGACAGGAATTATCCAATCACAGTACAGTTTTTTCTTTGACCAAGTTTTTGATGAAAAACTTTGATAGTGACAACAGATGAATGGCTAAAAATAGAACATATTGGGTAAAATGCAAGTTTTGTATATTATCTTGAAAACCTTTATGAATAGAGAAAAACTGATGGGGCAAACATGTTGAGAATGTTGACACTAGCTGTACATTCATGTCAAAACTGTGAGACGACTTCTTATAGGAATTATTGCCCTTTATTGTCAAATTTTACCAATTTTTTTTCATTTTTTTGTATTATTTTGAAAACTGCAGTAGATACAGAGAATTTTTTATTAGGAAATATGATTAGCAAGACAAGATCTACAAATAAGACAATATGGTTGAAATCATCAGACAACTCCTTATTGGAGTTATTGCTCTTAAATGATGATTTTTAACAATTTTTTGCTTTTTGCCTGATTTTTTAAAAATATAATAGATTGAAAGAAACTTTTAAATGCTTAAATGATCAATAGGTCAAGATCTTCAAATAAGTCAACATGACGGAATTGTCAGTTGTCTCGTAATTGAAGTTATGGCCATTTAATGAAGATTTTTCTCAATTTTTAGCTCACCTTTCCATAGGAAATGTGAGCTTTTGCCATAACTTGGCGTCTGTCGTCGTCCGTCGTCTTCCGTCCGGTGTAAACTATATCAAACATCTTCTCTAGAGCAAATCTGACATGGGATAAAAATGTTCATTAGGTCAAGTTCTATCAGTTCTAAAATTTTCAAATGAATCTAACAACCCATTGTTGGGTTGCTGCCACTTAATTGGTAATTTTAAGGAAATATTTGCAGTTTTTGGTTTATTATCTTGAATATTATTATAGATAAAGATAAACTGTAAAAAGCAAAAATGTTCAGCAAAGTAAGATCTACAAATAAGTTTTATATGATCAAAATTGTCAATTGACCCCTTAAGGAGTTATTGCCCTTTAAGGACAATTTTTCACAATTTGTTTATCAATTTTCTAACTTTAAAAAATCTTCTCCTCTGAAACTACAATTCCAACCAAACTTAAGCTCACGTACTGAATGATTCTTAGGTTATCTAGAATAAAGTTTGTGTTTTATTTTCTGTTTCCTCAGAAACTAAAGCATTTAAAGCAAATCAGACAAGAAGTTAAAGTATTCATTAGGTCAAGGTCTACCTGCCCTGAAATTATCAGCCAAGTCGGGTATCTGATTTTTAGGTTATTGCCCCTGAATTGATGATTTTAAGGAAATTTTGCAGTTTTCGGTTATTATCTTGAATATTATTATAGATAAAGATAAACTGTAAACAGCAAAAATGTTCAGCAAAGTGAGGTCTACTAATAAGTTAAGACCAAAATTGTCAATGGACCCCTTATGAAGTTATTGCCCTTTAAAGACAATTTTTCACAATTTGTTCATCTGGTTTGCCTACTTTAAAAAATCTTCTCCTTTGAAACTACTAAATCTATTTCAGCCAAACTTGGCTGAATGAGTTTCAGAGTATCTAGTATAAATTTTGTATTTTATTTCCTTGTACATCAAGAAACATAGCCACTCTGGCTAAAATGGAACATAGGGGTAAAATGCATATTTTTGCTTTTGAAGAAAATATTACAGATACAAAGAACATTTAAATGGAATTTTTAAGCCACTCATTAATACATATTGAAAAGCAAAAATAATCATTGATGAAAGATTTAAGCAAAAAATTACAGGTGAGCGATTCAGGCTCTTGAGAGCCTCTTGTTTGCATTTCTGACTTTAATTTTGAAAACAAAGCAAGATATAAAAAAGATATTTGGTATATGATATTGGAGAGAAAATGACTCCAGAAAAGATGTCTCCCCTTTACCACTTTACCAAGCAATATATGTAGGTGAATCACATAATTCAGTTGTAAACAAGCAATATATGTAGGTGAATCACATAATTCAGTTATAAACAAGCAATATATGTAGGTGAATCACTTAATTAAATTGTAAACACCTAAGATCTCTTAAAATCTGAGATTCTTTGTACATTATTTAGAAATTGAGGTAAAGGTCAGAGGTTAGAGGTTAGAGTCACGTCCTGAAATTTCTGCTTGTTAACACTCCTTATCTGGAACTGTAAATGGAAGATGAAACGAGAGGCTCAAAAGAGGCTGTATGGCTTTGATGACACAGAATTTGAATTTTCAATGTAAAGTATCTCATCAAAAATAATTTTCCAATCATTATCCAATAATCCATTAATTAGGATTTGAATTTTTCCTGGTTTTTCAAGGAAATTTAGACGTGAGATTGGATTTGAGTATGTTTTGTACTTCCTGCTCTAATTAGTTGTCAAGATCTATTATTTATAGACTTGAGTGCATATTACTGAAAAATACAATTTTGAAGTAAGTAATTTGACGAAGAATCAAAGAACATGATATACATTCTAAGTATACGCATTGTTGGTATAATCAGAGAAACATACTGCCTTAGTTTTAGTTATGAAATTACCTTTTGTGTTGCAGTCTTTTGAAAGATTTATTGAACATTGTTTAACATCTAGAGGCAAATATTTCAAGTAGATTGAAGACAATTCCTAAATGGTTCTGTATAATAAACTCATCATAAATACCAGGATTAAAATTTTGTATGTTACATAGACCCGCGTTTCGTCTACTAAAGTTAAAAGACTCATCAGTGATGCTCGAATCAAAAAAGTTTAAAAGGCCAAATAAAATATGAAGTTGAAGAGCATTGATGACCCAAAATTCTGAAAGGTTTTGTCAAATACAGCTAAGGTAATCTATTCCTAGGGTAGAAAATCCTTAGTATTTCAAAAAATTAAAAGTTTTGTAAACATTTAGTTTATAATCAACACCATATCAATGATAATTCATGTAAATACAGAAGTGCTGACTACTGTGCTGGTGATACCCTTAGGGAGAAACCTCCATTAGCAGTGGCATCGACCCAGTGTTTGAAAATAAACATCATAGATACCAGAATTAAAATTTTGTACGCCAGACAAGCATTTCGTCTAGAAAAGACTCATCAGTTTGTATTTTCTTTTGTCCTACTTCTATTTTTAGCTTTTCTCATCACTTGGCGTCCGTCTTCCGTCGTCGTTGTCCGTCATCGTTAACTTTTACAAAAATCTTCTCCTCTGAATCTACTGGGCCAAATTTGACCAAACTTGGCCACAATCATCATTAAAAAATGTGTCCGGTGACCCGGCCAACCAACCAAGATGGCCGCCATGGCTAAAAATAGAACATAGGGGTAAAATGTAGATTTTGGCTTATATCTCTGAAACCAAAGCATTTAGAGCAAATCTGACTGGGGTAAAATTGTTAATCAGGTCAAGATCTATCTGCCCTGAAATTTTCAGATGAATCGGACAACCTGTTGTTGGGTTGCTGCCCCTGAATTGGTAATTTTAAGGAAATTTTGCCGTTTTTGGTTATTATCTTGAATATTATTATAGATAGAGACAAACTGTAAACAGCAATAATGTTCAGCAAAGTAAGATCTACATATAAGTCAACTTGACCAAAAAGGTCAGTTGACCCCTTAAGGAGTTATTGCCCTTTATAGTCAATTTTTAACCATTTTTCGTAAATTTTTGTAATCTTTTACAAAAATCTTCTCCTCTGAAACTACTAAGACTAATTTAACCAAACTTGTCCACAATCATCATTAGGGTATCTAGTTTAAAAAATGTGTCCGATGACCCCGCCCGCGAACCAAGATGGCCAACATGGCTAAAAAATAGTACATAGGGTAAAATGCAGTTTTTGGCTCATATCTCTGAAACCAAAGCATTTAGAGCAAATCTGATGAGCATAAAATTGTTCATTAGGTCAAGATCTATCTGCCCTGAAATTTTCAGACCAATCAGGCAACATGTTGTTGGGTTGCTGCCCCTGAATTGGTAATTTTAAGAAAATTTTGCAGCTTTTGGTTATTATCTTGAATATTATTATAGATAGAGATAAACTGTAAACAGCAATAATGTACAGCAAAGTTAGATCTACAAATAAGCAACATGACCAAAATTGTCAATAGTCCCCTTAAGGAGTTATTTCCCTTTATAGTCAATTTTTTACAATTTTCATAAATTTTGTAAATTTTTGTAAATTTTTACAAAATATTTTCCACTGTAACTACCGGGCCAAGTTCATTATAGATAGAGATAATAGTAAGGAGCAAGAATGTTCAGTAAAGTAAGATCTACAAACACATCACCATCACCAAAACACAATTTTGTCATGAATCCATCTGTGTCCTTTGTTTAATATGCACATAGACCAAGGTGAGCGACACAGGCTCTTTAGAGCCTCTAGTTTTTATGTTGCACAGAATTTTCTCAGCTGCAAATGTAAGTGAGCTTATTTATTTAACTTTGGTCTAGACCATGTCTTTTGACCGGAAATATTAGACTTGCCAATGGTATTTTAAACAGCATTAACCTAAGTTTTTATGAGTTGTTTTTTGTCATCTGAGACAATTATGACTTTTTCTTGCTTAATACTATAATAACTCTGCCCATGGCTCATATAGCATTATATAAGATTTTGCATCTTTCTGAAAAAGCTGAGATGAAGTTCTTTCGAAAGGTTAGAAACCTTTTGTTTAACATAATAATCTTTTGAAATGCAAATATTTTTTGATTGGCATGAGTTTGCCAGCATTGTTATATGAATGGCTTCACCAACTAATAAAAGAACTTGGAGAGCAGAAATTATTAGCA